GTTTTTAACTAAAGAAATATCAAAACATGTCAACATTAAATAACAGAATCAATTTATTACCTGCTTTTTTCTTCTGCTTTTGCTAGCAGATAATAAACAAGAAGAAATACATCTTTTCAACTGTTTTAAACAGTGAACGCTGGAAAGGAAAAAGTACCTTTTAAAGCAGATAGCTGAGTGAAGTTCTGTTCAGTCCTCCGTTTATTTTTTTGCTAAGGTATTTTGCTGAGATAATCTACCAATCGTTTATTTCAAACAGATAAAAAAAATATTTTTAAGGTAAATTGCAAGTATTGTTCAATACAGAACAATACCGAGGGAAAAATATCCTGGTACAACACCTAAGTCAGCTATGGACACATTGTATTTCAGATAGCTGGTGCTCTGTTAATGTCAGTAACAGCAGCCACACCTACTAGAAAAACAAGTTTTCCTTCTCTTGAGCAATGAATACAGTTGTGCCACAAGAACTTAATTTAAATTACAAATGAATGTGGAGTTGTTGAAGCAAATCAAACATACATGATTTTCTTAAGGCTACTTAAGTTTCCTTCTGGAAATTAATCTTTCGTGTCCATGTATCCCCAGTTCACACACATACTTAAAAAGAACTAGAAAAAATATACCATATATCTGTATTTATTGGGCAATCATTTTTTTCCTAACACACTATAGGCCTAGTTCCAATAGGTAAATACAGATCCTGTGAGAACCTGTGAGAGAGTACTGAAACAACAGCAGGTTCTAGAAGCAAAGAAAAAGAGCAAAATCTAGAGCTCAAGACATACCAGAACACAGAATCTTAAAGAAAAGAAATACGCAGTTATTTAAGGAGCGAAAATCATGGTTTCCCCAACACTAGTCATTAATTTTGACCTCCTGAAATCAACAGCATAGATACGTAGTCAGAAAATACATAAAGTCAGTGCAATTAGGAGCATTCCATTTCTTCACTATAGAGAGTAGTTGGCAAATTTTAACTTCAAAAGTATGCTTTCAGCATATTTAAAAGGGTTTCTTTTATAAAAAGAATAATAAAGTCCAATTTTGTATCTTTTAATTCCAATTAATATGCAAGTAGAACATGATACAAATTATACAAATTTGTTTTAATGCTAAATTTAGCTAATGGTATCGATGGCTACTTTGCAGTATTCCCCCTAAGCAGGCTTTGTTCCTCCCCACTGCCCTGACAGACAGACTGCAGTCATATCACCTCCCGGTCTTTGTATTTGTTACTATTTCATTAAGCAAGACAAGCTGTTCTAAAACCCCCTCAGAAGAAACACTCTTCCTTTACCAGTCACTTCTGCGTGCTTGGCCCAGGTTCAATTAATCTCCAATACAGGAGACTAGAAATCTCTGTTCCTTGTCCATTTGTGCATGACAAGTAACAAGCCCTCACCATTGTTGGAAATTTTCTTTCTTAATACATGCCAGGATTATATTTTTTGAAGGTGTATCACATTGCGCAGTTACATCTGAGCTTGTCATCAGCCAATGATTAATACATCTGCCCAGTTTGTTAGCCAAGTGCAGTTACACAATGTGTTTTCTTCTGCGGCAAGGTCATAATAAAGAGCTCTTGTCACAGTTACGATCATAGAATGGCTTGGGTTGGACAGGACCTCTAAATATCATCTAGTTCCAGTCTCCCTGCTGTAGGTAGGGGCATATTTCAGTAGATCAGGCTGCTCAAATTAATCACATTTCTTCTTATTTCTTTTGTCACAGTCCTTCTAAAATTTTCTCTCAAAGCTCATATGGGATCAAGAACGCACCTACAAACTTTCATATACTTAAATCATCTTTTTTTTCTTCCTAAACCAAGGAATCATTCATGCTTTAGCCACATTGTACCACTATGCTCACGACACATTTAATAAACTCCCATTATAGATTCTTCCAATACCTTGTCTGTCTTCTTAGAATTTTGAAATGGAAATTGTTCTGTATTGCCTTCCAACTGGATGTTGTTTTTACCTTTGCTGTACAGCTTCTACTTCCAGAACTTCTTTTCCGTCATCTGTCTTTAATCCTCCACAACTGACACTGTCCTTACTAAAAGGTGGAACCAAGTGCTAATTTAGTTCAAGAGCCATTTCTTGGCAATTGTTTATCTTCCTCACATGCCCTCTGCATTATGGCCTTCCTTTGTAACTTGTTTTCTTTGCATGGAGACAGCTGAAGACCTTTTAAGCTGCTCATTTCAGTATCTTCACAAAGTTTACACTGAGTGAAATTTTTGATAACTCTCAGTTTATTACTTTATTTCCCAATCTAGGGTAAGGATAGGGGGCAGACTGATAGAGGTGATTGCAGAGCTTCAGTTGCTAATATGAAGTACTAGATTCAGTAGTACAGAAACAATAGACAGCCTAAGCCTTGGTTTATGCAGGGCCTAAATGAAAACCCACGACTAACAAACAGCCTTAGTAACTTATTATTTTTGAAAAAAGGTATTCTCTATCCTCTACTTTATGATTTTTGTCAAAAGTAACAACACAAACCACTGGTGCTAAACAAAAATTCCAAATCATTTACCATCTTTTTATCTAGATTGTCTGTTGCTAATCTTTTCATAGATTACATTTTTCAGAAAGACTCTTTGACACACCGGTGTCCTTCCTCTCTTACAAGATCCAAAGTCAGGAGCATATGGTTTGAAGGATTAAACTGAAGGCAGTATTATTCCACTCCTTGTAAAATACTGCTTTAAAAAAACTAAACTGGCCATTTCTATTCTAAATACACAGATGGTAAGCCAGACCAATATACAGTGTTGCCATATACTTATTTTGTGCCATTAGAACTAACAAACCACACAGTTCCCTGTACACTCATAAACTTCTCCATGATAATCTGCTGTGCATCCCTAAGCAAACTCCTCCTATGGTAAACAATTAGACTTTGTGTCCACTGGAAAAAAAAATGATCAGGCAAAATCAAAATTGCATGACATTTAAAAGATTGTTATTTCAACTTTTTGTCTTTCACACTGTATTTTTTTTAGCTGGACCAGAGTTAATTTTCTCCACGGTAGCCAGCAGGATGCTGTGTTTAGTGACCAAACTGAGTGTTTCAAACACATTGCTGTTTAGCTATCTCTGAGCAGTGCTCACACAGCGTCAAGGCCATCTCTGTTTCTCATGTGGCTCCTGACCCAGAAGTAGGGCAGCACAAGAAGCTTGCAGGGGATACAGCTGACCAAACCGGTTCAAGGCCCTTCCCACACCATATGATGCCACGCTCAGCAATCAAAGCTGGGGAGAGGAGGAGACACGTGACTGACAACATGTAGCTTTCCAAGTTACCATCAGACATGATGAAGCTCTGCTTTCCTGGAAATGGCTAGAAATGTGCCTGCTAAGGGGACATAATGAATAGATTCCATATTTTGCTTTGCTTGCGCACGCAGCTTTGCTTTACCTCTTACACTCCTAATCTCAACCCATGAATTTTTCCACAATGGCCCTTCTGATTCTCTCCCCATTCCACTGTAAGGGGAAGGGTAAGCAACTGAGCTGCCTAACAGAGTTAACCCACACCACACACTGGAACTACTCTTTAGAGCAGTTATGCATGCTTTAAATCCAAAATTAAAGTCCACGCTTGGCATGTGTTCAGAGGGAGGCTCAAAAAGCCTGGTTTGGACAATTTAATCTGTACCTTTAACTTACCATTGAGTGGTTAGCACCAGTACCGTAAAATAATGCTATAGCTGACGACCATCTGATTTTACATTTCTTGAATGGAAATAAACTCCCGAGCCTCTCCTGCGAGCGATGCCAGCTGCAGGAACCCGAGCAGGTGCCGCAGCCTAGCCCCACCCGGGTCTCGCCGGGCCGACCACGCGCACACGGCGACGGCAGAGCGGGGGCTCTCCCGGCGTTCGGTCCCGCCGCTCGCAGCGGGGGCCGCGCAGCGCCGCCACCACCAGCGCCCCGTGCGGGCACCGCCGCGGGAGGTGGGCCGGTGCTACCGGAGCCGTCGCGCCCCTTCCCCGGCCACCTCTGCGGCACGGACAGCAGCAGCCGCAAGGCGCCCCTAAGCCGAGCCCGGCAGGTGCGCTCGATCCCGTCATCTGCCGCCCGGCGAGGCGGCGCCGGCTGCGGCCAGGGAGACCCCGCAAGTTCCCGCCCAGGCCGTGCCTCAGGCAGAGCCCCCGCCCGCCGCGGTCCGGGTGGGGCTGTTCCCATCCGCCCCCGCACGGCGCTCCCGGGGCGGCTGCTCGCACTATCGAGCCGGGCTGGTGCCTCCGCACGGATCGCCGGACACGGCACTGGCACCGGCACCGGGCGAGCAGCCCCTGCCAGCGGCCTCAGCGGAGCGCGGCCCGAGGAGGCCCATCCGGCGGGCAGTGGAGACTCGGCCAGAGGCGGCGGGAAGCCCGGGGCGGGCGGTGACCTCACCGCTGCGCCTCTGGCCGCGCCCGCTACCGTCCCAGGTCCCCCGGGGCGTTGGGCAGGGAGGCCCCAGGCGAGACGCGGCGGCCAGTCCCGGAGCGGCGGAGCATTTCGGGGAGCAAGGTCTGCCCAGCCCGCGGCGGCCCCGGGCGGGCCGATCACCCAGGTCCACGTGCCGTGTGCCGGGGAGACGCATCCCTGGAATGAGCGGCATAGATAGCCCAGGTGCAGGAGAAGGACCTCAGCAGTGCCGCACCGTGCTCGGGGAAGTCTCCGGACTCGACCCTGACGCTGAACCGTCACTTACACATTAACTTGTGTAAAATGGAGAAACACAAGCTAAGCATTATATTTTCAAAATACGATTCAATCTTTAAAAAAGTACTGGGAAATTTGATAATTACACAACGATAAAATCCAGTAGTTTACAGGAGTCCTTGTCTACTTCTGGAGACAGACCTGATAGCTGAATCATTCCTACAACAAAATCATCATGGCTGGGCTTCGCAAACGATGATGTTACCATTTGAATGAGTTCCATAGTGGGATGTTTTTTTCTAGTGTCAAAGGCCATAAGTTACAGACCTTTTTTTCCCCTGTGAATATTAGAGAATTTAAACATACAATGCATTTCTTGCTGGGGAGAAGGTAGCATTAAATGCATATGGCAACACCTTTACATTTCATTATTACACTTCAAATTGTAGCATAGCCAACACAGTTCACTTTCAAACCCAAAGATGTGTATCTCCAAGGGGATGTATCCTTGATAAGAGCTACATCACACCAATTTCCTGCAAAGACATATAACAGTGTCATCAGGTACTTCCCAATCGTGTATAAATATCATTAAAAAATAGTAGACTGAAGCCTCAAATACCGTTTGTGAACAAAATAATTTTTTCAATTTTGAAAATCTCTTCCCTGGATACATTGATTCAGTTCACATATCAAATGCATATATAATTACACAGTACATAAAAGGGCTACTTTCCTAAATCACTGCAAAATGTAACCTTCATGTGGAAATCATTTTGATGTGCTCTTTAAACAATCTCCTCTGCCTTCCCACAATAAGGGTGGCTCTCCACTTTCCCTCCTTAGAACCGAGGTTTCACTTTTGAACTTACAATATGGTTTGAGATAGCACCTTGTTAACATTCATGATTAATGATGAGTTGTATCTCCACAAGGCTGTATCCCTGACAAGGGATTCTCTGGGGAGGTCTCTTTGAAGGGGCTTCCGACAGTGATAAATGAGGGCAACATCCATGGGAACATTCACACTGTCCCCATAGGCATGTAGGACAGAGTGGACAGAAGTCTGAATCACCTTTTGTGGATCAACTATCATCTTCCTGGGATTGAAAACATCTTTCCTGTCAGGCTCTCTGTGAACATGCTGTAATATGTTAACACCTGGCACAGTATTCCAGGACGAGATGTTGAACATGTGAGTAGAGATGGTTTCTGGGAAGATATGGTTCTCGAAGAGGAAAATGCCAGTCCCTGGATTTTGTTCCTGAAGGCTGCTCATCATTGTTTTCCAGTTTGGATGCTTAAGAGGAAGAATTATTTCATCAGCATCATTAAGAACCACAAACTTGCTCCTTTGCATGTTACGGTATATACAGTCATTTAGAGCTGTGATTTGTCCATAGTAGCCAATGTCTTTTGCATCCATAGAAAAGTGCCATTTAGAGGAAACCTTGAGGTGTGAGTTTATTGGCCAGGGAATTATCTCTACAGTTCCTTCTTCTATATAAAACTTCAAGACTTTCTCCATCAGATGGCTGCAGTTGTTCTTATAGATCACCACTTTCTGCGCTCCAAGAATCTTGTACATTTCCAGACTCTGTATGAACTGCAAGACATTGTTGTAGTTTCCAAACATGGCAGAGATGCACACAGTGAAGTCAACAGGAAAGGGCTCAGGCTTGCGGTTTTTAATTTCAAACCTTGGCAGCTGGTCAATATTTCCATGTGCAAACGGATGAATTGATACATGCGTTGGATCACAGTTTTCAGGTTCCAAACAA